TTCTGTGATTCTGTGATTCTGTGATCTGACAATTATAAACTCACTCATCCCAAAATGGATGAGATCAGAAGTGCAGGTGTTAGAAAGAGCCCCAAGCGAAACTTTCTCAGCCAGAAAGTCACTGGACAGCACAGAAGCTCTACCGTTATGAGGGTCAATAAACATTTAACTATATGCATAATTTAAAGCTGATTAATTCTACATGGTAAAATTTTTTAATGTATCAAAGAAATTCAGGAACTGAGAAGTCAGTAGGATTTACACACATTCAGTAATTTTACCAGTGCTTACTAATGCTTTGAGGAATTGTTCCCTTATTTGGGCTGTTGTCTTACAAAGAAGTTTTAAAAGGAAAGAAAAATACTGTAAGTATTCTTTTAAATAGAACAGAATCTGTAGTTAATAAAAGTAAACAAATAGAAAAGTCCGCAAAGCTAATGAAAAGAACATTTGATTGAAAACATAGTTACAGCAGAAATTACTCAATGCACATACATGAGATTGCTAGCCGTTCTCTCTAACTCAGTTTTAAATATTTTTAGAATCATCAGAGGTACGCAATTGAAATCACAAAGCAAAAGATGCAACAAATAAAACAGAGAGGATTTTAAGTGTTACCAGAACATTGGCCACAACCTTGATGCATATCAGACAGCTCTCAAGAGAAGGCCTTGATTGGGATTACAGACCATTTGGACAACTATGCTGATGGCCTGTTGCTTGCCAAAGTAGTCCATGATCCCCAATAATGATCTCTAGAGGATCTTTATGCCTCCGTAAGTTGGTTCTTTTACAGCAAGTTACTTATTACTATACAGATTTTCTTAAAAAAAATTATTCTTGCTTTTAAAGGCAGTTATGATGATGGGTAAGCATTTTATTTTAAAGATAATTTATGCCTATATGAAATAATAAAATTATTAATAATTCATTTGAATTGAATTGGAATTTAAAATAGTGATTTAAAATATTTGAAACAGAATAAAGATTTTTTCAATAATGTGGAAAAACAGATTTTGGATTTGAGTTTTTGGTAGAGAGTCTGCACATATATTTAGTTAGCTAGACAGACAAACTATTAATATTTTAAGATCTAGGTGCCAATTCTATTTAAGGGATGTACATATTCTGCTGATCTCCTCTCTGTTTGTATGAGTTGTTTCCTTTCCTTCTCTTACTATAGAAAAGGAAGCACATACAGTTGAAAAGCATCTTTTGTACTTACGCATTTCTCATGTTAGCGCCTCCACCATATTTACAGTGATGAATTTCCTGACCTCTAAGTAATCTGAATACATTGATGTAACATGAAGTAAATACTCAGGCATACCCAACTAAAAGAGTCTGATTACTAACACTTCTGTTCAGTTTTTCATGCAGTGACCACATAATGAGTGAACCTTCGCTTTTCAATGTATTTTTCTATTTCCCCTTCTTGCACCAAAATCATGATTGGAGATCTACTGATTACCTATTCAGCTCACTGTCATCACCTTACGGAATTATTTATACCAATTTCAAATGGAAAAAAGTTAATGTTAAATAGTGTCACTGATCTTGAGATAACCCAGATAAATAAAAATCCATATTATGAAAAAGCATACATTAATCAGGCTACAGAGACTGTTTAATATGCTCCCTTTTGAAAGCATTTGCATGTAGATACATGGGAAAAACAGGGAGAGCTACATACCAGAAGTTTGGCAGAGTGAGGTCAGACTTGAGGGAGCATGATTATAACTTTCTCCATTCACACTCCACAGCACTTTGCTGCTTCTGGTGTGTCTGGCATTATCAGGGGAAAGTGAGGCCCTCCTTAATCAACAGTCCAGATAACCTACTTACTGATATTCTGTAATTTATAGCATTAAATTATATTTTGCATTCTGAAATGACTGCATTATTTGCTGTGGAAGGAGGGAATCACAGTAAAATTCATCACTGTAATTCAGCACATACAAAATAAAGCCACTGATAAATTAATATATTACACTCAAAATTACGTTACAGAACAAAGCAAATTTTCAGAGGCAAAGGGATAATGATTATGTATAGAAATATGATCAATTTTAATTAACTTCAACAGAGCAGCATCTTAAAGATGCTATTCAAAATTGAATACAGTGTTTGTACCATGTAATTTATTCTGATATTGGGAATAGCTCTTAAGGGATACATCTGTCTTATAACAAGAAGAACAAAAAGTTACAAGAGTCCCTTTCCAAAGGGCTGAAAAGGACATAAAACAAAACTGCTTGCTATGAGCACATCTATCAGAAATAAACTCAAAACTAAATTTCATCTGTCAACAATAGTAATTTCAAAACCAGACACTGCTGTATACTCAGCTGCCAGGATTTAAAAAACTCAGATACCTGTTCTATCATAGCAGACGTACGTTTTTCATTTCAATGAAAAGCAAGGGTTTTTTTTCTCAAGTATGTGGGAAATGTTGGTAAATTGCAACCATGATTATCAAACCTGAAGAATGTGGGCTACTGTATGGCTATTGCAAAATTAATGAAAAAGTCATCAGAGAACTTAGACCTGCATTGTATTAGATTGGATTTACATCAAGGCAAGTAGTAGTATAGTATACATTAGTGTTGCAGTTTGGACACTTGTTTAGTATATTTACAAACAGAATCCAAACAAACAAACAAGAACTGCAAATATTTCTGTTTTATTTTTGCACTTGGACTATTTCTTATAATGGCCTCAACACCACTTGTCTTTCCACTGGAAGTCTGACTTCAGACCAGTAGCTCAGTGTACCTGAAATAAATTCAATAATTCTGGGGGCCACGTTGAGCAGCAAGTTTACTGGACTCTGTTTTCCACCACACCAGTACAAAATGTTGCCCTTTGTCTAACTGGTTGTCACCAAAATTCTATAGCTTGGAAGCAAATAATTTAAATCTTTTTTTTTAATCTATTTTCCCAGTTTGCTGCATCCATACCAACTGTCATAGGCTGAAGAAGAGAGCAAACCTTTATAATGAAACTACATTGACTCCATTTGTAAGGAAGTATGACAAGAAGATGCATCTTCACTGACGGTAACATCCCATGATATAAGATCATAGGCAGTACTGTAATATATTATGTGTACTTCTTGCCACCGTACTTTAAAAATGTTGTGTTCAGACATGCTTCTACTAACAGCTTCTAAAATATTACCCCACAAAAACTGAAAAAGGTGTGAAAGAGGAAAAGAAGGCTATGCTTCTTTGAAAATAAATATGAAAAAGGAGTAAGATGCAGTAGAAAGCAGTAGAAGCAAATATAAATCTGCTTAGCATACTACTTACAAGCCTGTCACAGGACTATAAAAATGATACTGACATTCCTAAGTACCATAATAAAATAACAATACAGGAAAATACACAAAGAAAATAGTGGTACAAGAAGGTCCCTTCCTATCTTTGATATCTAAATATTAATGAAAATTATTTTCAGTGACTTGCAAAGATTCCAGTAGATTATGATAAAAGCATATAGAGATCCACAGAATACTATGAAGGGTAGATTTCGTGCTTTTCATGCATAATTTGCAATCTAAATAATTACAAATATTCAGGCCATCAAACTAAGGAAAGTGAGAAAAGAATTGGAAAGACAGGATGGGGAGAGAAGAAAGGAGGTCTGAAATACTGTAGAAAGGAGAAATTATTTTAGCCATGTATTACATTAGATAACATATTTGTAAAATATACATAAATTAAAGTCATGATTCAACCACAACATGATAGAAATATGAATGAAATATTTAAGCTCTACTGTCATAGTTACTGTCATCAAAATCCCTTGACAGAATTACAATCTTCTATAGACAGAAGTATGTTATTTCTTACATTGCATTTTGTTACATAGCACTACGAGGCATATATTGCAACTTAGAAGCCAATGTATGGAAGGAATTTCAAATGTAGATTTATTTAAAGAACATCCTTGTGGACAAAAATTATGAGCGTGTTCTGCCTAATTCAGAATTCCTTGGTGATTTAAAGAACAGGGTATAAAAAAGAACCATAGGATGAATAATTATAAAAAAGATGACAATGAAACTATTTAACTCCACTGGGAATATTAATCTGCAAGCCATTCGAAAGGCTTTTTTTCACGTCCCTGTTAAAGGAATTTGTATTTGAAATTGCCTGACATTAGACGAGCAGTTGTATGCAAAAGGAAGTAAGCTTGTGATTCAGTCTTAACTGATACTGGTGAGAAATAATGCCAGCAGAAGTGGCTTAAGATAGTACTTACTTGGCATCACTAAACAAAGATAAAGATCATATTTTCAGAGCTTCATTTTCCTTTTTGAGGACAGTATTTTGCAGGAATATGTTACATTTAAAAATAAATAGAGGCAAAATCTTAACATTTTCATACATATACATATATAGCATAGCAGCCAATTGCTGCTCTGATGGGCAAGATTCGTCACTGGAATTCATTCTTGACAGTGTTCTCCTCAGCACAAGTACCACCCTCGGCCACATAAGACAGTCTCATTCTGGATGAAAATTTAATTCATTAACAACTAGCTTTTTAAAAAGTCACTTACAGTCATAAGCTGCTTTGGTAATTGCATTTGCTGCATTCTTCTGAACACTGGGAACAGCAGAGTCTCCTACACATGAAAGTAGCTTTTTAAGGCCTCCTGTGTGCTGAATCAGTTGCACCATATGCACATCTTCGAGACAATTTCCCAAAACGGCAAGAGCTTCCACATGGAGGTCACTGAATTCCTAATAAGGAAAAAAACCCCAAACAAATAACCTTCAAATCAGGATTAAAATATTTTTAGCTTTTAAATTTGTAGGATAATTGTCATAACTTTTTTTTGGACATGGACAGTTTATTCATACTACAAAGTACACCTTTTCATACTCCTATTTTTTGTATAATTTCTTTGATGTACCTTAGGATGCAACACAATTTATCAAAACCAGTAAAATCCCTGTACGTTTCTCATTTACATCACAGTGGGTTAGGCAGCTATTCAGAAAGGACCTGTCATCTTAAAATTTCAAAAACTTCACAAATTTCTCTATGCATTATACTTCCCATGATGACACCTGAACTCAAGAAGCACTACAGTGAATCTCATCGTGTCATAAACAATTAAATTTCCAAAGTAGAAAATTACATTTAAGGTCATTGATATAAAAGATCAGTGTTCAAACTAGGAACCAGCACCACAGTTCAGCATATAATAAAAAAAATTGAGAAAACATTCTATAAAATGCTATATTGTGATTTTTTTTATCTTTACAACAGTTTGAGAAATGCACAGTAAATGCAAAACAGTATTACTAATAGCAATAAAGCAAATATAAACATTTTGGTGAATCCCTTGGCTCCCTTTCTTAGTAAGCTAGGTACCCTAGCTTATCCTATTTCTATAATAGTTAGCTCCAAGTAAGGAGCTCTTTCTTCTTTTATCACTCTTCCATAACATGAATAATATTTCTCATTAGTCATACAAACATTAGCAGCAAGAACAAAAAAGTTATAAGGCAAATGAACTATACATTGGTTTCCAGTATCTTCAGAAGACAATCTAACCCTTGATTTTCTCCCAGTATTATTCTGCTTTCTCCATCTTTGCTCATTACTTCTAAGGTTTTAAGGGCTAACAGCTGAATAACTGGGTATTCAGATTTCAGTAATTCCAGCAAAGGTGGAATTACATTCAACGCACGAGCTGCAGCACAGCTTTGAAAATCCTGTAGTAAAATATTCAACAAAGAATGTTAGCGGTAGAGAATATAACAGTTCATCAATTCCTGACTTTACAGAAAGAACACCAAAAATACGTTTTCAAACATACAGTTCTGAAGATTTGTTTATTTACAGCTAAGAAGCAAATTGAATATAATCAAGCCCTACCAACCTTAAATACCTTTTTTTAAAATTGGCATTATTGAAGTACACACTACAGAAACTAGTCCTGTCTAAGGAAGTCTATTTACTCTTGTTTTTGCCATGTTTGTCTCAGCATACATGTTTCTTTAAGAAAGTTTTCAAAATTTAGTTTAATCATTTTTAACTCGGGGGGGGGGAGGGGAATAGTTTACACACTCTACTGTGGTTGCCTGGTTATATCTTCTTTTGTTTGCGTAATTATAAAATAACAATTTAAAAATTCAACTTTAAACAGCATATATGCAACTTAATAAAAAGAGAGTAGTAGATTATATTAGAATAGAAATAAATAAATAAATTACAATTTCCTTTTAAATAGCTTATTGCACATGTGCAGCATGCAATTATCCTTATCAATATAAGCAAGCACCAGGTGCAGTTATCCAGATATACCCTGCAACAAAGACAGCGAGATAGTAAAAAAGGAGAAAGAGTAAAATGTGATTCTGAATAGACATGCTCTGATGCCCCAAAAGAGATAGAGTTATAAACTGAATTCATTATTGAATTGATTCGCTTAAGCCATGGAAAAGAACTGCCATACAAATGCACCATTCTTTTGCTAAGCAGCATATGGATGACATTAGTGCTGAGTGTGAAAGTGGCCAATAACAAATCTATTCCTTCCAGTATGGAAAGTAGCTGTTGACAGCATTTACCTATCATTAAAAAGATCTTCAAAATTGTAACTATGGACTTGCTGGCCAAAACAAGGCACAATGCAATTGCTAGTTCTTTAATTTACAAGATCATTCCAACCTTTTGGATAGGCAGGTTATAACTCTTATTACTGAGATTAACATTTTTCAACTAAGAAAACAAATTCATATTTAGTTAAAAAATCTGAATCTGATCTCACATTGCAGTACAGCATGGAAAACTGCATTAAGTTCAACACAATTAGAGTCAAATCAGCTATATTTGTAACTAATGTAACAATCAAGGATTTCAGTGTAATGTTTTTAAATACATTGATAAACACTGGGGAGTAAAAGAACCAAATATTTTAAAACTATTAACCCCACAGAGGACAGCAGGGGTTGGAGGAAGAGTGCTTATCTGCCTCTGTAATTTAAAACAACAACAACAAACTACCTGTACCAGGTGGTAGATACATTCAGCTGAATTCTTCTTAACATCAGGATCAGAGCTACCTAGCAGTCTGATAAGTGGTTCTAATCCACCTTGCTCAAATATTTGTACCTTTGTAGCATATTCAACAGTCATATGTGATAGACAAAGAGTAGCAAATTCATGGATAACTGTATCTTCTATGGGGGAAAAAAAAAAGAAATATTTTAATCAAGTTTTGTTCAGCACAGTATATGTTCACTAATACAGTGGTTTAAAGTATTATTTGAAGCCAATAAAGAATAGCTGTTAATCATACCTGACATCTCCATAAACATTGCTCTATCTGCACAACGTAAAACATTACTCAGTGAGATACTGAGCTACTTTTATAAAAGCAATTACCTATTTAACATTTAGTATGACAAATCCTAGGTTACAAGGAAGATTTTATTAAATTGTCCAATCAAATGTCAATCATAAATTATTTCTGAGTGTATTTTTGCACAAGGAATGAATACTGCAAGCTACCTTCTGGTGCCAGCTGTGATATAAGTGAATTTGTGACATCCAGTTCTCTCAGTAACTTCTTGACATCATCTACAATGAAATAAATACAAATACGAAGTCTTTCATTTGGCAATCTTGGCTGAGTAAAGAAACAGATCCTGAGAACGTTTCCAAGAGAAATGTGTACTTATGGTTACACCCTGAGTGACAAGAAGATCTGACTGGGAATGACACACAGCTGAAGTTATACCAACATCATAATGGGCCCAGAAAACAAAGGAGATTTTCAAGTACCAGATTACATTCTTTGCATTTGACAGCTATAAAGTTCCTCAATATTTCAGTTTTAGTTGTCAAATAAGTCATATCCCAATAATTAAAATTATTTGTGGTTAAAATTAACAAACTAAAAGCAATCCTTCTGTTATTTAATTTTCAAGCTATCACTTTCTAATTTTATGCTAACATACTGCGAACTGAAATCATGAATTATATAGGTTTTGTTAAAGACAGTGAAGACTTTCGGAATGCATTTTTATTGTTGTCAATGTCAAACTAGCAAAACCATAACCACTGGATAGCATAACCAAAAAACATCCTTTGGGACAGACTTTCTGTGATCTTACAGGGCTGTGTTATTACCATCAACATATTACAGTGTTGAAATGTAAGAAAAAAGGTATGAGTTGACTTTACCTTTAAAGAAAAAACAATTAAGATGTGAATATTAATGGAAGATTGTCAGTCATTCAAATCCATGTCTGTGCAGCAGCACTGGAAGCCAAGTTCTGAAGGGAGTAACTATATGCTAGTGCAGAGTTGAAAGTAAGGTAAAGAGCATAAGCTTCAGTGCAACATGAAAAGCAGGTAGCAGTTGATGTAAAGAATTAAATAGTGGTTAGGATACAACCATGGAAGACAATCAGGTAGAATATCTACCAAGGTTAGACTTGATTAATTATATTAATTAGATGTAGGTCTATAAAGCAACGTAAAAATAACAGCCACTGAAACTCAACCATTTGTCACTTATTCTTTCATCTTCAGGTATGTCCACCTACAAGCCACTGCAGCTTGATCATTTGGCATTCAGCCGCCCAGCATAGATGTAATACATCCATTCTCACCTTATAAAAAGGTACAAGAAAATCTGCATAGACCATGGTTAAATAATTTAATAATGGTATGGCTACAGTAGACACACTACCTTGCTGTAAATACGTCTCTGAGAGATATTCAAGGCTACTTGAATTTCACTAGCTCAGATAGAGATTAAAAAAAACCAAACATTTACAGCAGCACAGACCTGCCAAATAAGCTGGATAAATATGCATGCCAATGCTTGTTAGTTCGGGGCTTTTTTTGCCATCAATACATGAGTTAGCTAATTTAAATTTAACACATTTTCTCACTTATCATTGTAGTTACACTAATGCCTCAAGACACAACTGATATTTAACCATAACACCTTCTGTAGATGATAAATATGACTTTATCTTTCTCTTCCAACTTTTGTAAAAAAGAAGTGTGTGACATATCCACGTGGGTGGGCATCTTATGTAGTCAGGCTTTCCCTGATAGACATAATTCCAGTGTTAAACTGTTTCAATTTGTACCCATCAAAACAAAAATAAGGGTTGGAGGAAAATTAACTTATCTTGTAAATTTTTTTTCCTTTTTTTTTTTCCCCAAAATCAGTGGCATTCACTCTAGCTGAATCTGTTCCTTTATTCTGGGCTGTTAATACAGGATTTTTTTCTCCTGGATCACCTATTGCTTTGATGACCACACTCATAAACACCGAAAAATATGAAAAAATAGAGACCCTTACAATTAGAAGCCATGATGCCAAATACCATGATGGCATTTCTGCGTACAATTGGATCTTCATGTGAGATGAGTTTATGCAGATGTTCCACTGCTCCAAGACCAAGAAGTGTCACTTTGTTTTCATCACCTGAAGAGTAATTAGGTTAAAAGTTCTATAGAAATGCAATAAGCTCACAGTTCTAATGTATCAAAAATAAATCAGCTACCAATCCTTTATTGGATTGTAGAATCAAAGAACAAAGGCCTGGACAGGACCTTGGAAGATCATCTAATCTATACCCCAAACAAACACATGTCAAAAAGTATCATCAATTAATAGTATCAAGGATTACTCCTTTACATTTGTAAAGCAAAGAATGCTTATGTTTGTTGGACACCCAACTCATTTGTTGGAGAATGCAGTGGACAGAAATTTTTGTACAGAAAGGACAGCTTTCTATTTAGCAAAGTACATGAATTATATAATTAAGAATCTAATTTTATTTTCCTCTTTTCTTGCCTCCCAATTTTATTTTCCTGTAAATAACAGTTAATTCATTCTATCTGCACTACCCCTCAACTGAAGCAAATACCAGGATTTGGATCATTAAATCCCACCTGAGATTTCTGCCACCTGGGAATGGAGCACATTGTAACTGAACAGGCTCTGGCCATGCAAAGAACAAAAGCATTTTGTAAGATTACAGCCTTCTGTTCCTGCTCACTCAGAAAACACCCCAAATCCAAGATGCAAAATCCAAAACCTACTCCTATTCTTAGTTCCCACAACAGCTTTATAATTAATTTTTTAATGAACTACAAGTGATGCAGTAATATCTGGCAATGTGAGAAGAAACTGGAGAACTGTACTCATTCTCAGGTCAAAACACAACTAAAATACAAGAACTACTTTACTGAGAGATGGGGGTTAATTACTAGAAACATTCAAGAAATAAATTGACTGCAAAGTGAAAAAAACTCCTTCTCTTGTGCCACTGCAAAGTTACAGTCTAGTCTTCTGGAAGAAGATTACCAGTGTGCAGCAATTTGAGTGGCTGGCACGGAATGAGTAGGAGGCAATTTAGGAAATAATGTGCTCATAATTTTGAGCCTTTGTTATACAGTTTTCTTCTGGGTACTTGGAACATGACACTTAGCTATAGATACTACAGAGACTCTTGGAAGATTTAGAATCTTGAGACTTGTTAAAATTCCCAACACGTACAGAAATAAGGTTGATAAAGAAGACTGAGCAGTCTCCAATAAATGACAGAAGTACTGACACAAGAGCTATATGCAAAAATAACAGAAACAGACTAAAAAGTAATTTTCACTGAAAACTGAACCTTGAAATAACTACACTAGTACAGAAGTTTCAAACTGTAACACAAAAAAGATAATTCTTTCCCCAGATACAGGTCTGTGGCTCATAACAAAATAGATCTAGGCTGTATTTAAACCAAGCTGTATTAAACAGAGAATATAAAATTCTACAACAAAATGATAAAAATTTCCTTCATGCAAACCACAGACTTCTTTATAACTGCAAATACAGGCTTGATAGATATTTCAGAAAACCTCCAAAACCTTGACAGACACCTTTAAGATCAAATGAAGATTTCAGTGTTAGGAAATTTAAACATTGTGAACTAATATCAAAATCTAAGCAATGCAAAGGAAAACTCATTGCAAAAAGACTAACCTTTTGATGCAAATTTATACAAAGCTTCACATGCTTTGGCCAAAACTTCCTCTTCAGGAGAACTAAGCATCAGCACAACTGTTGCTGCTGTTTTGCTTTCAATCAATAAAGGATCAAACTGCAAACAAAGACAGAACAGTTTGATTTATATTGAACCTTCCTGTGTGCTGCAGTAGACTCCCACATTTCATTAAAAAACAAAAAATCTGGTTTGAGATCTACACTAAATTAGAAATATTAACATGAGTTGCTATTTACTTGGAGAAATTAAAATTTTTAGTAAAAATTGGAGATATTGTTGAAAAAGAAGAAAGAATAATTGACTTGCAAATACAATCATGATTTCTTCCCATATGTAGATTTTGGGAAAACCTTGACACTTTCCTGTACATTTAGGAAGTCTCGAAGACAACAAACTATGTTACACATGTGAGAGCATCCTGTGGCTTTGGAGCCAAACGTGAAAGGAAGTTTCTTTTGAGCAACTGTGCACAAAGCCTGTGAACTTGGGTGCTGTATGAGGAAGAGGATTTGGTTACTCTATGGCATTAACACTTTGTGGTTGCTTCAAAAAAATAAAAGGAGCTTTCCTGTGCCTTCATCAACTCAGTTCACTAGCTCATCGTGATCTTATACTACCTGAAGTATTTCCATTATATAATCCCTGCTCATCCAGCTAGAAACAATACAAAGTGTTCATTTCCATTTCTGACCTCTCTTATACAGAAAGAAACCTTGGAACACATCTGGTAGATTTCATCCTCTTAATAGACTTTTGAGGACAAACACCACTTAAGCAAGGGAATCTTCTAAATTGCCTTTTGCTCTTTAACAAGATTCAAGAATTTCTGAAAATTCTACCCATTAAAAAGTTTTAAGCTTATTTGTATTTAAAATTATTTTTTAATATCAAAACTGTCCTCACACTTTTGGCCCATGGAGTATCTGTGTTACATAAACTACTAGATACTGGAGTCATGCAGTCTCTCCATATCAATGTATTTACCTTCAAAATACATCAGACTAATCATTTAAGACAGCAATACAAATGACTTAAAAATATTGTTACAAGGTATTTTTTTCACTGTATATTTTCAAATGTCTAATTTTTGGTTTACTTCATTTAAAAACCTTCAAATAGCTACATCTGAGGTACATGTTGCTGAATAATAGGGGCATGAAGATACTTATAAGTCAGTTGTAAAGCAAGGAAATTATTTGGAGTAAATCTTCAAAAAAGTTATGAAAGTGCTAGAAGGAAAATGAACAAAAAGGAGGCATTTTACCTTCTCTCTCCTCTGACTTGTTCAAAAATAAGGCAAAATATGGTGTAGTACCCCGACTTCTAGATTCATATTTTTGTTCATCAAAAATGTCATAGAACTGGGTATGACTTTTGCTTATCATAATGCCAGCATAGCTGTCTACCAGAATCACCAGGTCCTTTCCTGTAAAGCTACTTTGCAGCTGATCACCAAGTCTGTACTGGTTATTCCTCCCTCAGGTGCAGGACGTGGCATATCCCTTTATTTAACTTCATGAAATTCCCATTTTCCCATTTCTCTAGATTGTTGAGGTCCCTCTGAATGGCTGCACAACCATCTGGTCTGCCAATCACTCCTCTCAATTTCATATCTTCTGCAAACTTGCTGAGGGTCCCACCATTCTGGTCAATAATGTTCAGGTTCAACCGTACCGTCCCCAGGATCAACCAGCTGGACCTCACGCCACTGATCACAACCCTCTGAGTCTGGCCATTCAGCTGGTTTTCAATCCATTTACATTATTTGTCTTATCTGTACTTCATCAGTTTGTCTGCGAGAATGTTATGAGAGACAGCTTCGAAAGCCTTACTCAGGTCAAGTCAAATTAATATTTAGGCATTAATTGCTCAATGAAGGTGTTTATGTGGAAACTGAACTTCACGAGTCAACAGTGCTACTTCATATATTCCACCTTTTTAACGTCAGTGTCATGAATGAAGGCATTTTCAAAAATACTCAGGTATCTGTAGCTTCCTTTCAGTGATAATGCCTCAGCATTTTCTCTAGCGGCTATCTTAGGCTTCCCTTTTAATGTCTATGCCCTAGCTGATAACCAAATAGTAATACTGTCTAGACCAAACTTAATGAAGATATCACATGGAAAGTTCCTATCAATCTATGCCAACGCCAGCATATTCTATCTGCTTGAATTACTGTCTAAGGTTATCCATAAACATATAGAGGCTCAAAGCAGTATTTTTCCTGGTAAAGCCGAATTCTCAGATAACAGCAAAAGACAAATTATGAAAGACAGGGTAAACAGGTTCCTGAGGAACACTTTCTGAAACACATAAGCAGTGGCTAGGCTGAGAGATGTGCTTCCCACCCGTTCCTAGAAATCTATAAAAATTAGTTGTCATATGCACTACCATACATTCTCAGAGCATTCCAGATGCACAAAGGCCCTCTTTTATAAGCCTGTCCACATTATCTCAAGGCTTCCTTTCTTGGACTTGACATTTTCATAAGCAGATTATCAATCAGAAGATAACAGCTAATACCTCTTTTATTTTGCCTGTATCTCATTTCCTGTCATCTAAAATATTCAGATGAAATTTAAAGTTTTGAGATTTGATTTTATATGATCACTATTAAAAATATTCTCATAGCTAGAAGATTTTCTTAGGTGATAGTTACAACTAATCAATGATCTATTTTCATGTTTAATACTGTTTTGCTATGCAACATTCAGGTTTTTTTCTCCTGATAGGACCGCTAGAAGAGATATGCTAGCATGAAGTACAATAAAGGGTAAAAACTGCAGATGTCATCTGGACTTTACTCTTTCCAATTCTTTCTGTTTTAATAGTTTTACTGACTTTTTCTGTAAGCTTAATTTTTTTTCAATTATTGATTCTCTTTTCTAACATTATTCACAGTGTATTGTAGCAGTTCATAGGCTGTACCATACTTTTCTCCAGAAACTCTAATGGTGTCTGCTGGATCTAAAAATTGTGGTGCAGCTTCTACTGACTTTCAAGATATCTGCTGAAAAAGCCAATTTTTATTGCTTTGGAGGGGCTTAGGTCATCTGTATGCCTTAAATCTACTGTCATGCCTTTCAATTTATTTTCTTAGACTGCAAAGATACTCACTTCTAGTTCTTCAGACCTGCTATAATTAGTCCTATCCACCTACACCTTCTTTGTGTCTCCTCCTGGTTTTCTGGGTTATTCCACGCAGAAGTGGCTTTAGATCAATTTATCCTCTCATGTTAAAGTTTATGTCAAGTGTCCTTTCATAAGTATTTATTATTGATTGGAACTTAGGAATTATGTTTGTAATGTTCATTTTTCCACAGAACAGTTGGGCAAAAGCTGATATCAATTGCTATGCCTCAGTGACATCATGGCTATTGGATTTACTGTCTTAGTCAAAATTATTTATGCTTATTTAATATTGAAATTGGGGCATAGTTTTTGCTGATCAACTTTTCTATGACCTTTGAAAAAGCTCTTGCAGTACTATCACTTTACAGACAAACCCATTGTTTTTTTTTAAAACAGTGTACTGAACTCTGCATTTAGTTTCATACTCCTCTGTGGGACTCATTGAAGACCTGACTTTCATTAACTTATTTATTATCTGGCACCACATTTACATTATACTCTTTTCAACGTTTCTGTCTTATTTACTCTATTTCTTTCTGAATAAGCCTATTAAATTTTAAAAAAAACTATTTTTTGAACCTCTGCCTTTTGAGGGTCTCTTTGTACCTTGTGAATTTATAGAAACTCTTGAAGTGTGCTAGTGTTAGACCCTTAATCTCCACCTTTTGAACAAAAGTCACATTACCACCATTATTCTGTATTTGGCTTCAGCTCTTGTACTTCTCACTGTAGCACTTTCAATGATAACAGGAAAACCTGAACTGCTGCTAAAGACCATGTATCTTTGCAACTGAATATGTAGTACCATCATACAAAATATCTGTATAAATTTGTATTCAGTAAAAAACTCTACATATCCATCTAGGCTCTTAACACTTTCATCCTTAAAGAAAGGGAATGTCTCCACAGTTGCAAAGACGGGCAGATATCAGGTCACTCTTCTCCTTTCTCCTTTGATATTTACAAATGGAAGGCTAATACAGTTCTTCAAATAAAAAGAAGCCTGAATTGTTTCATACATTTGCAAAGCCTGCCAAAGACAACAATCTCCACAAAGAACTACACATGCCCAGTCAATCGGGTTTGTATGCTGTCCAAGAAAAGCAGAAACAGAATCATCGTTAAAAGACATTTTTAGAATAACGTGGGTAAGCAAGGAGAGCAAGGAACTATGTAAGGATGGTAAAGGCGGGCCTATAATTGTGTAATGTTTATTTTATAGCACATAGCAGTTTATAAACTTACCACATCCTTGCGTGGAGGCTCTACTTCCTTCTTTATTTTTTTACCCATTCTAAAAACAAAAACAAACAAAACAATAAAAGCAGACAAACAAACTCCCTTCTGTGTTTTAGGAATCAGTTTACCAGTGATTTAGGAAAGCTTGTAAGACAGACTTTCTCATTCATTTGACTTTTCATTCAAAACTAATCAGTTTGAATATTTCTTTGACACAGTAATTTATATGCAGAAAGTTGTCCCTTATAAACAAAACAAACTTTCTAACACTTGAACATACTTGGTAAAGTACATCTGTCAACAACTAAAAAGAAAGATCCGAGTCATCATATGCTCAATTTGTAATGTGGTACAAATACATAGGACATACTTTTCTGTAAGTTAGTTTTATCTGCACTCATAACTCATATACCAACTCAAGGGTCCTATTAGGGTATTTTCTCATGTTTGTCCATAAATTCTGCATTGGCAAACATTCTATACGAATGCAGAATGTACAAATAAATTCTACCTTGAAGATGTGGTTTAAATTGAATTTGAATTCTCTCTTCACATTTCACAGAAGAAAAAATTCAGGTCTGTAGGTATTAAGAAACAGTTCTGCACAGTACAGATTTCACCAATTTAAAAAAGCTACATCTCTTTACACCAAGTCCAGTTTTTATCTTCCGCTTTTTTGTATTAGAACATGTGCACTTGAACCAGGAAGACCTCAGTCGCATCTACTAGCAACTTTTGAAGCATATAGATATAATACCTCATGTGGACCTAATTTCATGTGGCTGGCAAAACTTCCAGAGCATTCCAGTTAAGCTACAGGAAAAAGTAAAGAGCAACATGACCCACTAGCACTAGCTAGGCATAGAACATAAACCAAATTATGCCAAACTTAGGTTTGTTTTAACACTGTGTAAAACTGAAATGCACATTGTCAGTACCCCTTAGTAACTCCAGGGTTAGTTCTCAAAGGGAAACCACACATTCACCCTCAGCCAGGTCTATCATGACAGCCTTCCTGTCGTATAAGAGATTCTTTTCTAGTGCAATATGAGTTGTAGCCTGGCTGGTTACAAAAGTCAAGGCTATTATTTGATGTGTTCAACAAAAATTTGGAGCTCTTTTTGAATCCTCTGTATTTTTTCCAGTGGTATTCCTCTACTGGCCTCTCAAATAATTTGTAACACAACAGTAGTGTAACCAGCTGATAAGCACATCCTAAAAATGGGTCTGAAATTTAAAACTTCATAGGCAGGTTATTAATTATAGTTCTGAGAGGAAGACCCACACAATCAAAGATACTTCAGCTCCAATCTGCTTTACCCTTGTGCATATGTACACACACACATATGAACACATACACACAAGCTAGAATTCAGCATTTCAAAAAGTGCAGCTTTGGCTAGGGACAAATTAACTCTCATAAGAGAAAGCAGAAGAACAAACTACTGACAGTATATTCAATAATGATGGACATACTACCTTCTGATTTATATGATCACTGTAGAAAGTAAGCATCATGTGCACATACAAGAATTGGATTTACAAGGACATTCAGGAAATCTGGGTTATTTAAATTGTATTAAATTCTGGTATGGAGATACGGACACTTATTTAGAATTATTCAGTTCAGCTCAATTCGTTTCAGATATAAATTAAGCTAAAGTCATAAAAAGCAACTTTAATTCTGAATGAGTTTAATTAGGTTTAAACCAAACAATTTTAAAAGTTAATGAATGTAAAAGTATTTATAATGTTCCACAACTAATGTTCACAGATTTAAATAATTACACATATTCTAAGACTGTGAATAACTAAAGCCTTTAATTGTAAATATTTCTTCACACCACATAAATACATCCAATTTCTGAGAATATTTTCAAGAAACTTAGACATTTTTCTACATGTTCAGAAATACTTGGTTCCTTGGTAGTATTAAAAAAGCAGTATGACCTGCAGCAACAAGCACAGAGAACAGGACAATTATTTTATTGTGGATTATATCCTTAAATCCGTTTCTTTGCTGCGGTTACTATTGTGGATTTCAATGCATTCTGCCATCAAATGTTGCTATTAGCTTTGTTCCCTTAAAGCTCTCTGTATTCAGTGGTTATTCTCTGACTTGAGGCAATGGTGCACATGAAATTCTTTGCCTTACAGATAATTAAAAATGTGTCTTCTGCATTGAATTTTAATTACGACAGACAATCAATGTGTATAGGTATTGAAAGGCTACTGACCCATAAAAGAACTTCTTACCCAAATCCCTTTCTCTCCATGATAGCTGCGTGTTGTCTTTTTCTCAGTGGGTTTACAGTACACATATCTTTGATTCTCAGTTTACTATTCTAAATATTTAGAATCAGTAACTAATTTGTAGAAGGATTTAGATTTTTAAATGTGATTAAATGCTGGGTCTATGTTATCTGAAAAACTTTTTTTAAAAACTGTAACTCCATTCACTAGTAAACAAGTATAATTAATTAACTCTTAAAAGACAAAATAAAAAAAATATTCTAATTTCAGTAATATTCTCTACTTCATGTTCTGTAGGTTTCTAGAATCACAGGAGCATATTATTTCCACATGTGATTTTTGAGATTAAAGGGTTGGTTGTTTTAAATCATGTATAGCTAGAAGTAATAAAGGACTTTGACATAACAGATGTAGACAGTGCATAGTCAAGCAATCCATGAAGTTACCATTTCATGCTACTTCCTGTCCTTCACCTGGAATTTGTTGCCTTCAGAGGCAGACAAACGAACCTGCTTTACTTTGCTCCTGCCCAGTTTCAGTGGTCTAACCAGGTCCTGTGTCTCATCCAGCAAGACAGTCAGTGTGTCTAACTAAATCCTCACTCCAAAACTGCGGATCCCAACACTCTCCCTCAGCATTGTCTATTCGCAGTGTATAAGCTCAGCAGGCAATTCCCTGTTTCACTCTGAACTTCATTAAGCTCCAGCTTTCTCACAGGACCAGAACTACCTTGATGTGAGTATCTTAAGTTGAACCAGTATCCAGAAACTATGAGTAGTGTCCACTAAACTAAATCAGACATCAGTGCTTAAGTGAGTCATGCTCCTTGATAATTGATGGAGATCTAGTCAACATACTCAATAGCTTTCAAGATAGACTCATCCTAAAGTAGGTACCTAAAATTGAATTGCACCTTATAAAGTAAGTACTTTTCCTTGGACGAAAAACACAGTCTAGAGTTGTTAGCTCATGTATTGAGATTTACACTGACATCTAAAGTTGGTGAGATAAACTTACTACCCTGTTTCTCCACATGAATGCACATGCCAGGCTAAGTCTGGCAGAGACTATCACAGTAGACTGAACATCAGCAGAACTAGGCATATGACAAAACACAGCCACCTTGTCGTTTTAAAAGCTGCTGAAGGAACAGTCCCATTTCCAGTAACATCTCTGTGACTAGAACATTTTTTTCATAAGTTGAAAATATTTTGAGGAAGGTCACAAATGTGGACTTTTTAGTTCAGAAGTGGAACCTTCTAGCCTCTTGGCTGTTATATCTTGAACTGGCATCTCTGACACATCAATAAGGAAATATTTCTTCACTGAAAGGGTTATCAGGCATTGGAACAGGCTGCCCAGGGAAGTCGTTGAGTCATCATCCCTAGAGGTATTTAGAAGACAGGTAGATGAGGTCCTTAGAGACATGGTTTAGTAGTGGACAGGTTATGGTTGGATTCTTAAAGGTCTTCTCCAACCAAATGATTCTATGATTCATTTTGTTGTCTTGCTCTAGGAACCTCTCTGCTCAGTGTGAATAGTTTCTTAGATTGCAAATCTGAGATATCCACTTACTATTAGTCATTATACTTTTTTTTTTAAATATGACATGATGGATAACAAGTGAGCTTTAACAAAAAGAAGTCTATAAATCATACTTTGAAATATGAGAAAAGTCTTATGATGGTTTTTCTGTTCAAAATACTGAAATCTTATAAATTTTTCCCTTACAGTATAGAGTGTATACCTGTTATAGTCACAAGAAAATTCTGGCCGATTAAAGTAGATATTTGTTTCAGCAGTAGAGCTCAAAGAACACTTTGACCAATCAAGGTAGTTAAAGTAGGTTGATGATTATGTAGTTAGAATAGGTATTTGTTTAAACTACAAAGTTAAGAAAAAGACTACAAGATATATTTGTATAAGCACTTGAGAAGGCACGTACCATGCTCGAGAGAAGAATTAGACAATAGCATGAGGGATAACAGCTGTGGTCAGACCACTGTAAGAATAGGCCGTAACTTTTATTTTTTCTTTATGTCAAAATTATAGGGGTAATCCAATGTCTTATGTGGCGTGATAGTGGGGAACCAATCAAGGTGAGGGGCAGAGTAAAAGGTGATCATCTTATGCATGCCTGTATGATTTTGCTCTGTTAAAAATGTATAAATAGGCTGTGAAAATGTATGGGCATTGGAGCACAATTAGAGGAGCTACCCTCTGTGCCTCCCCAGCGCTGTGAATAAAGAAGTGCCTGCTTATCTGCAACTGCGTAGATAAGTTTTTCTCATCGTGATTGCAACCCCATCAACATACCTATACCATTCTATCTGCATTTTCTGTTCTCTAAAACCTTAAATAATGGACACAACAGCCTAAGATCCTGCACATACAGAATGTTTGCAAGACATGAGACAAAGTCAAAACCACAGCCAGCTTCGGAACTTACCTCTCAGTCAAGGAATCAAAGGTGTCTTCTGTAAGCAAATACTCCTTTGGAAAAGCAGTGCAAAGAGAAGGATTTAAGAACAGCTTCTAACCAATTACTTATTACATTACTTACTTCAAGAATTAACTGTCCCATGCTTTAAGACAACCTGAAACTGCTACTGCAACCTGGCGATGATTTTCAGGTTCTTCCCAAAAATGACGCACAAGTGAGATTATTTTTCTCTTCCAGGAGATAATTATGCAGTATCAACTTAGTGTAGCTAGTTTAAGTTAAGTCTTGCTGTTTCTTATTTTGTCACAGAAATTAAAACCTTTTTTTTTCTGTGATAACAGTGAAAACTGCCTATAAA